TCTCCACTTGCTTTCACAAATACCACTTCCCTGGACTGTGCTCACCTTTTAAGGTGGAAAGCATAAACTTCAAACAAAAAAAAGATGAAAAAGCAAAAGCAAAAAGTGGTGCACAAATTCTCTTCTTCTTCCTCTTTTGCAGCTCCTCTCAAGCGCGCTTTGCTTCTTTTCTTTTTGTCTTATCAATTTATGCAACTTATGCTGCACACTTTTCATTGCTCTGTAATCACTCCATTGATCTCCCCAACAACGTGTATTCATTTTACGAAGGGGAACAATCCCATCTCAGTATGGGCCTTTTTCCCTGTACCAACGAAATGGGGCACAAAATTCATCAGATTAGGAACAACTGGTTTATTACTCTCCTTCTACATTTCGTCATAATCTTTCTCAGATTTTCCACCTCTCTCTCTCAATCGAATATTTGCAGGACTGCCTGTGGTGAACTACCCATTAACTACCCTTTTGGCATCGATGACGGTTGTGGGAGCCCCCATTATCGAAACCTTCTCATTTGCAACAATGGGAAGGACCTACAACTCAGGACACCTTCTGGTCGATACCGTGTTCTGAACATCAGCTACACCGACCCCCACATTGTGGTTTCAGATCCTCTCATGTGGAACTGTGAGAACAGGCATCTTGCTCCTAGAGCCTATGCATTCAGCCTGGATACAAGTACGCCATTTTCTCTTTCCAAAATCAACAACTTCCTCTTCTTCAATTGCAGCGACGCCGTCATATCTCAACCCCACCCAAGCTTTTGTGAACAAAGCACCGATCGATGCGACCCAACCTGTGATACTGCCAGTTATCTTTGTCAAAACATACCCATTTGCCCTTCTTTGCTTGGTCACGCCCCGTGTTGCTCGTACTATCCGAGAACCTCAGAATCGTTGCGATTGATGCTTGAACATTGTCAGTATTATACCTCTATATACTGGAGGTTTCGCGATGGAGCCCCCCCTTATGATCAAGTCCCTGCTTATGGTGTCAGGATAGATTTTGAGATACCTGCTACCACAAGGTGCCTCAAGTGCTTGGATGTCCGTAAGGGCAAAGGGACCTGTGGTTTTGATACCCAGTCTCAGAGTTTCCTGTGTCTTTGTGATGGAGGGAATGTTACCACTTACTGTAAAGGTATGCTGCAAAATTTGAGTATTTGCATCTATTGAGCTCTCTCACTTCTGTATATGTGAATGTGTTTATTTAGGCTCTAACCTGATTGAGATCAAGTCATAATTGTAGCTCTGATTTGGTTTTAATTACTTGGTATTATAGAAGTTGAACAAAAACCAGTTGGAGGATACTAGTTAAAATATTTAGAGTTGCTTTTTAAAGTTTTCCTACTAAAGGTCTTCATTAATAAACAAACCAGTATATGGGGACATATCAAACAAGATTATGGCAAGACATTTAATTGGAAAATAATCAATTAGTGATACTTCTAACAATTTCAAATATTCTATAATCCTCTATTGAATAAAAAATGATTTTTCAGTTTATGGTAGTAATCTCCACTTCATAACCATATGTTAAGAATATATCAATTATTGTCACTTGAAAAATTGTTTTTCAGCCGAAAATATTGGAAAAGAGCAAAATTTTAGTGGTCTGGGACTGGTTTAGAGGATGTGGCTCAAATGATTTGTTTTAGCTTTAATGGTTTCCATTTAACCAAAAATTTATCCAAGGTGGGAAGGTAATGATCTGTTCAAGGACTCATCTGTGCCATGATGACCCTGGTGAGCCAAATGAGTTCTGAAGAATTCTAGTAATCTGGCCCTTTCAAGGCAGTTGTTGGCTCATTACTCATAGAAGCTATGATGGGGATGTGAGGTTCAATGGAGAGAAGAAGTATCTTTACTGAATCTCTCTTAGGTAGAATCCCTTACTACCAAATTTTTTACAATAAAATGTCCTTAGATATAAGAATTACATTAACAATAGCTTGTTTGAGAATTTTGAAAAGGGAATATTTATAATTTTAAATCACTTTGAAGGTCCAATCATCATTAAAAAAAAGTCAAAAGAATCTTTTTAAATTTGAAAGTGAGTTTTGCAAGGATTTTGATTAGACAAAAGTGTCATTCTTAAAATACAAGAACCATTTATGATCAAAACTTTTTAAGTAGTAAATTCTAAGTACACCATTAGTTTGACACACACACACACACATATATATATCGAAGAAAAAATCAGATGCCATGGATAAAACGACCGCCACAGACGTAGCCTATCCGTGGCGGTATTGTTACGGACATTGTACTGTTCATTGCAGCTTCGTTCAATAAACCGCCAAGGACATAGCAAGTCTGTGGTGGGACGAAACACCAATCATTTAGGCATTTTTAAGACTTTTCTTAGACCAAAATATGCCCCCTCTTTTGCCCATATTTCTAAAACACAACTCCCAATATGTGTAATTTCGATAAAAAAATGCGTTGAATCGGTTTGTTCTGACCCGAGACAAAATATGCCTCATTGGCTTTTGACAAAAATTGCCAGTCCGATAAAATATGTACCGGACAAGCTTCTAACATTAAAATTCTATTAGTCCACCACAAAATATTTCCAATTGGGTTATATTGTGTCGGTCTGGCACATTTTGTGCCGGATCGGCTTTTATATTCAAGGTCTGTCGGATCGGCTTAGAGAGAGTACATGAAACGTGGCCTAAAACGAGGGTACTTTGGTATAAAAAAAATCAATTTTTTCATTTGGTGGGTGGTTGTGGAAAAAACACAATGTTGGGATTAATAATATAGTATAAAAAATATTGGGGGGCATATGCCTAGAGAGTACAAATTGGAGGGTACCTATAATTTTCACTATAAGGCACTACCCGTCAAATTAACGTGCTAACATGGAATGCTCGTTCCTATATTGTGTTGGTGAGTGCCTTAATCACAATGTCAGCTGTTTGATTGGAAGTATGTAAATACCTTTATTTCTATGGCTTGAACCGTTTTTCTTATCACTTTCCGGGAGCTTTTATGCGGCTTGAACTTTTTTCATTATCACTTTCTGGGAGATTTATGCGAGTATTTTGGGTAATTCAGTAGGGAAGAGAGGCCCGTGCTCATTTTTTAATAGACTGGGAAGTGACATTTTGAAGGTGTTAGACTGGGGAGTTACATTTTGAAGGTGTTAATTGGGAACGTCAACAGTAGGAATGGATACCATGATGTGGTAACTGGGTGTGAGAATGCTACCACGACCCAGCCCCTTTTCGTAATATGTCAAAATTAGCCTTATAGAAATCGTCATCATCATTATCAGCTCATGTTCCCAACTATTTGAGATCGGCCCACGTAAATACCTAATGAAAATACAATATAATAAGCATACCACCTGTACCTTAACACGGGTTTAGGCGTCATGCTATTTTGTTGACTTCTTACAAAAAAAATAATATCTTCCCGTGCTTACCCCAAAAAATGCTATTTACAAATTTAAGTTACAGTAGAAAAGTTGAGACTTTGATGGCGAGGCAATCCTATTGGCTAGCAATGTATTAATCATGCCTGTAGCTTGATTCTCTTGGAATTTTCTTATATACCTATCTGAGTCTGATGGGCTTGAATGTTCTCTGATTGAGATGCACTGCTAATAGGAGTCAATAATGTAATTATGCTACATGTGGTTGGCCAGTGGTTTTATGACTTCAACAACTTGCATATTTTCCTTGTTCCTGTTGCATATCCTCATATTTCATTTTTAGATTTCTTCAACCTGTTCTTCCACTGATTCCTACCCTCCCAACCTTTCCCGAGTTTGTGTTTATACTTTATACATAAGTTGATTGTTTGTTGTGCATATGGAAGCTCAAACTAGAGCATATTGATGCCAATTATGAAATTGCAAACCAAATTAGTTATATAGTGATTGATGGTTCCGGACTTCGCTCATGAAATCCTGATTCACAAATTTTGAACTCTAGTGAGGTGGGTTTGCAAAGCAATTAGCTCCTATTGCACTTGGAGTACTTTTATAAGATAGCAGTGCTAGTATTTCATTAAGTATTTGGAAAGTTGTACAAGTATTGTAATTGTGAATCTCAAAAACATATATCAAATGGCCAAAAAGGTCAACTACCCCACAAAAAAAATAAAAAATAAAAGGAATTGCCAAAAACGATGTAACAGTATATGAAATGAAATTCATGAGGAGATGCTGGTGACTGAGCGAGAAGTTCTGCAAACCCCATCTCTAATCATTTGATCAGCTGCCTTATTTGAATCTCTCCAAAATTGTGAAAAAGAAACCTCAAGGCATGCGGATAGGGAATCTGCAGAAATAGAGTGGGTTACTTTCTTTCAAGGAGATAATGTTGGTGAGCCACAACGCCATTTGAATTGTCGGATTCTGATTCTGGACAGCAATGCATTTCAGCAAAATTGGCACTACAACAGCTACCAAGAGCCAAAAAGGATAACAGGATGTGTACATTGTGAACATGGACGATGTCTCCTACACCAGCAGGCCCTTGATTACCTTTGAACTACCATTCAGCTGGTGGTACCTTTGAACTACTGCCATTGAGTTACTTTGCAAAAGTATTCTGTTTTTCTCCTGCTATAGTGACCATAGGATAGCAAGGAGAGAGGAGCCATAGACTCTACCAACTGAGGCAAAACGGATTGAAAAGCAGCTGGTGGAGAGAGCCCCAACCGATGCTGGACACACCGGAGAAGACTGAACAAATGCATAAATGCCCAGACATGACATTTGTAACTTCTAGTGGATGAATAGGTGATGAATGGTCACCTCCTTATCTTCATTAATGTTGCATTGATCAGGTATAGGCAGGGCCCAATGTTGTGGAATCCACATTTTGGGATTGCCACCCAATGTGGATGGTTGATGGCGACAACCTTGTCATAGAGGGCCAGCTACTCCAAGGCCTGAGTTCAAGGTACCAGGACTTGACAAAACCAAGGTACTCGTCTATTGACAGAGGTGAGTTACTCGGCGAGTCTGAATAACTTGCTCGAGTCCAGCCAGCTAAAAAAGAAAAAGAAAGCCATCTCAGCTAGTGGTGTGGGTCCTCAACAAGAGATTCCTGGATCAAACCCCAGTATTGCTTTTGAAAACCATAATGACGCCTCATTTTAATGGCCCCTTATTTTTTTAATAAAAAAAAAGGATGGAGTGGCGTCTGAGGGGATTGAACTTCGAACGTGAGGTCCATTAAACCATAGACACTAACCAATAACTCATTTTTGTGCTGTTCTGATTAAAATGGCATACGTATATTTATAAGAATTTACACCCTATACGGACTCGCGCATAGGGTGAGCCCGAATAACTCACCTGAGTCCAAGTCAACTTGAGCGAGTCATAGAACACGGCCTGAGTTGTTGCAGACTCAGATGCACCACACCTACCTTGGGCCTTGTTTAGCAGAGTTCTATTTGATTAATTGGATGGGATGTTGAGAAAAATTAATAGATTTATTCTTGTCTATGCAGAACCCAGCAATACATGATTCCAATCACGTTGAGCTTCTTCATCTGAAAGATTTATCCTGGTATTGTATTAGGCACTTTTATGCTCATAGGTGTTTGAGGATGACTTCCATAATGTGAGTGGACAGTTTACAGAGAAGGAAAGTTTTGGTGGCATATCAAAGAGCTTTTGTCAAAATTTTAGACTTCTCTGAAGCCCCTACTTCCTTTGGTCAATCATTCATCCATATCTGAAATACCTCTCTTATTAATGCAATGAGAGCTCGGATGATCTTTATTTATTACAATAATTTTGGGCCTTCCAGGAATGGTGGCATCAATTTAGTTATTAGTCATGAAGTTTTCTACAGGAATCTCAAACGAAAATATTCTCATCATCATAGCCATCTAGAACATGTTTCTTTCATGTGCATGACTACTGAAGATATATCATTTCATATTTGAAAGTTCCCTCTTGGCAATGACCTTCATTTTCATCTCTACATAAGTGAGAGGCTATTCAACACAATCTAATTACTCTCTAGTGGATGTTGGTGTGGTGTTTGCCTTGTTGGGGTGTCCTGGTAATTTTAGTTGTCTATGAGAGGAAAATTAGATATAAGTAATATATCAGACTTACAAGTGCTCTTAAAACTATCGACTCATAAGTTACTTTGAATAATAGTTTTTATTCTCTGCATATTGCATGTTCACCTTTACTATCTATACAAATTAAAGTAGCCACTTGAATGTGGTAACACTACTTTGATCACCTCAGCTTTCTGTAATTTGTTCAATGGAAGACATCAAAGCTTCTCCTCCTATTTTATTATTTTTCCCATTCCAATTAGTTCATGTTGCCCTTTCTTCCAGAAAAACAACTTTCTTATTCTCCTTATTTTACTTTTTGATGGCTAATGTTGACTTCTCATGTCCATTTTGTAAAGACCTGCCCCACATTGGCTCCCTTAATTAAATTTTTTCTGGATGGAAGATATTAAATCAACATATTTCAATCTTTTGTTCCCTTTTCGGGATTTAACAGTTGCCATTGTTTTCATGTGATAATGAGCATAGAAAATACTAGCTGTTCCTGTTTTTAACCTTGATGATGAATGAAATTTATTTATCCAGAAAAAATGGGAAACAGTTGAAATTCTTTTTTATATCCAGTAAAACTGGGAAGACCTCCCATTATGTTTTCTTTTTTTTCTCTCGCCTTTTGTGGTACTGCGAAGCAATAATGTCTCTATTCCTGTGCCATCTTTGTGAGCTAAGTCATACTCCCCATGTTAGGCACTAATTTATAATGGTGATTAATTTCAAGGGAATCCATGATGTTCCCACTCGGCTCAAGACTTTCTCGGCTTTTCTTTACGGATTAGACCCTTTTTAGTGAAATGACTTTCATGACATGGTGCTAGAATTTTGTTTTGAATGTTGACATGGTGCTATAATTTCTTGAAAACTTTCTGAGTACTAATGGAGTTTATGTTCTTGGGCAGATCGTGGGACTCCTGGACACAGTAGAAAGGTTGCCATAGTTGCAGGTGAGAAAGGAGGCAACTGTTACTTGGGAACTTCCATAATTCTCATAATTTTTGCATTTAACTGTGCCCCTTGGTCTTGTAATTAAAATTTGGACACTGAACTGGATGCAGGGACTGTCACAACTGTTTCAATTGGTGCGGCAGTAGGCGTCACGGGAATTCTGATATGGTATCTGAAGAAGGTTAGACCGAATCAATCTGTGACATTTGGGGTGCAGAACAATACAAATAGGCTTTTCTAAGGTGTAGTTAAGGCCACATTGTCATTCAACTAGGGGATTAGGGCGAAGTACTTGGAGTATTTCTTTGCATCCCAAATCATACTAGCTAATATTTCTCACCCTTTTTTTTTTTTCTTCTATTTGCATCCTTTCGAAGGAAACATATTGTTTTCCAAATCCTAAATATACTTCATATGTTTCGCCCTTCCATTTTAAAATGAGCAGATTGTTTCCAAATCAGTATACTGCACACTTAAGCTTGAAACATAGCTAGTGCTTACTGATGGAGTATTGAAAACCTACAAAATGAACTCAAGAATTTTGAACCAATTGTTTAAATTGAAAGTTGTGCATTTGGTATCCAAATGTTATTACCAGACACTAACAAACAGAACAATTGTTGAATACTAAATTAATTTTGAAAAATTGTGTCAAAATAACTTAAATTTGAACAGTTGTTCACTTAGGACAGATTGAGTCTCATGCACTTGCTTATGGAACTCTTGCTTCAAAAAATCATCCTCAAGAATTACAGGCTAGGAGCCTCAATTGCTCTATATCACAAATTCTCCCCAAAAGAGTCGGAGTCCGGCTCCGTCAGTAGAGGACTCAGTCTCCCATTTGGAGCTCAAATATTTGATAACAGAAACTAGTTCACATGTTTGAACCTTGGAGTGCGTTATATTCTCTAGAGGTCACTCTTAATGTAGCGTCTTGGGGGTCCTCTCTAATGTTGGGAGGCAGTGTCTTTTCATGCATGTGTAAATAAAAAAGAAATAGCAACGCTCAAAGAAATAAAAAATATGGAATTTTGTAGGAAAGTAAAAACCAGCTATAACACCAAGATTTACATGGAAAGCCTTCAAAGAAGGGAAAAAATACGGGAAATCCGCTATGCAATAAAACAATTGGAATGGATCTTTTCCCGTCAATTAATGGTAACGTGAGGTGTAGAAACAAGAAAATACAAAAATACAAGGTTGCTTCTATAAGATCAATTTCCTTAACTTCTTCCCATTTTCAAAAAACTAGTGAACACTTTCCAAATCTTATAGGAGAACACCAGTTTCACCCAAATGAGAAGTACTAAACCTTTGAGATTTGCAAGAGAAGCCCTCCATAATTTTTCAGCTCCTTAAAAATCCTAGAGAGTGAAATAAAACACTTTGACCTCTCTTTAGTTTTTTTTCGTTCGCCTAATCCCACAAAAATAAGAAAAAATTTTATAATTAGAAATCCTAATTATAAATTTTTCCATAATTGCCCCTTTTAATTTTTTTTCTAAAGGTGGTCCCCACCCTCATAGGGCTAGACCACATTAAAAAAAAAAAAAAAAACTTGCAACCCATGAGGAGGGCTCCCCAATACTTTATGGATCTTGCGCCTATACACATGTGCTTGAGGTGCATCCCTGCTTGCTAAGTCCCTAAAGTGCTCTTACTTTTCCTTTGTTGGGGCCTAGTCATCATATCCAATGGATTGTGTTCAACATAGATTTTCTCTATTCGCATCAACTAATTCTCCAAGACGTCTTGTATTCAGATATCTATGTCCTTTGTTTGGCATGATATGTTGCATTCTTGCTTAAGTCAATAGTGCCCTGACTATTACAACGAACCGCAGAGATGTATTGCTTCAAACCCATTTCCTTTAAGAATCTCTTCATTCACAACATTTATTTGCATGCTTTTATTACTGCTATATATCCTACCTTTATCTTGGAAAGAGTTACACACTTATGTAATTTGGGCGGGGCTGCCATGACATGGCTCCCCTTGCAAAAGTGACTTAGTAACTCAATGTGGACTTCCTGGTATCGATGTTTCCAGCCATGTTTGTATCTATGTATCCATCTAGCACAAATTTTTCACTTCCAAAGCATAAGCATAATTGGGATGTGTCCTTGAGATATCTGAAAATCCATTTTATTACTGTTTAGTGTTCTTTCCTAAGGTTGGCGAAAATTACACCCACTACATATGTGTTATTTGGTCTCTCTATTGCTAAAGCACAGGGAACGTCTTTCGCTTCTTTCTTTCCTTCTAGTTTGAAAGGCTATGTCTTGCACTGAATTAAAAGTGTCCTATAAGGGGAATGCTAAACTTGACTTTGCATTCATCATATTGAACTCTTCAAATACCTGTTCAATATATTATTCTTGTGGCAACCACAACGTCTTTGCTTTCCTATCATGTTTTATCTTCATGCCCAATATTTGTTGTGCTATCCCCAAATCCTTCATATCAAAGAAGTTGCTTCATGTGAAGATATTGCCCAACAATTTGCATGTCATTAACAAAAATAAACAAATAATATAGTCATTATTGAAAACTTTTTTAAGAAGCACAATTATCAAAAACTATCCTCTTACGCCAATGTATCATCATAAACGAGTCAAACTTCTTGTACCATTCTTTTGGGGGCTTATTCCAATTCATACAGAATTTTTTCAACTTATAAACCAAGTGTTCTTTACTCTTCACTTCAAAGCCTTCCGGTTGTTCTATATAAATATCTTCTTTCGAGTCACCATGAAGAAAGATAGTTTTAACATCTAATTGTTCCGCTTCTAGATCCAAGTGTGTGGCTAAACTTAGAATCACAAGAATGAATATCATCTTCACAATGGGTGTAAATATCCTCAAATCCAGTAACCATTTTATGCCCTCTTACAATTAAATGAGCTTCATTCTTCACTGGCTTCTTGCCTTCATTCTTCAACCTAAAGACTACTTGTGTTTTAGTGCTTTGTGTCCCTTTGGTAATTCAACCAAATCATATGTATTATTCATTTTCAAGGAACTGATTCCATTTTCCATATCTTGATGTAACTTGTTTTTGCTCATGTATCTTAGCTTCTTGGAAACTTTGAGGCTCTTTTCCCCTTGTGAACATGAAATACTCAATGGGAAAGTAGTTCTTTGATAGTTGCTCACCTTGATAGATCTTCTTGATTAAGTGTTTCTTGAGGGATTTGCTCCCTTTTCTCCATGTCAATATGTACGCGAGAATTATCATTAGTTGCTTCTCCATGAGCACCTTGTACATCTCCCCTAATATTAGATGTAACCAGAGGAGGAACAAGAGTAAGCTCTATAAGGTCATCCATAAAGGCCTGTGATTTTTCAACTTTTTCAAAGTCTTCAATTATTTAGTCTTGTTCAACTTTTTCAAAGTCTTCAATTATTTAGTCTTCACCAAGACGACATCTTGAATTTTAATCATTTTGTTTTCCTCTGGATTGCATAACCTCTAGCCCAAGATTTCATCTGTATAGATATATTGTGCTGATTTGTTATCAAATTTCAACTTCTATTCTTTTGATACATTAACAAATGCTTTGCACGAAATACCTTTCAATGTATTCACATAAGGCATATCTCTTGGTTTACAATCTTTCTGGATAATTTCCCTCCAAAGGAGCTGAAGGGGATAAATTAAATAAAATAGTATCGGCTTATCCCAAAGGGATCTTAGCAATTTAGAAAGTGAGAGCATATATCCGATTATTTTGACAATAGTGTGATTCATCCTTTCTACAATACCATTGTGCTAAGGGATATTATGAAAAATATTCTCATGTCAGATGTCCTGTTTTCCTCTCCACTATTTGTACTAATACACTTTAAAGGTTTTCCTGTTTACCTTCAACTTTTGCATGAAATTTTTAAAAAATCTCAAAGAATGTCTTTGGTTTTCATAGTATATGCCTATAGTTATCTAGGAGCATCACCAATAACGATAACAAAATAAGACGTACCACCAACAAATTTAACTTTCTTTTGACCACACACAACAAAATAACCATTTCCAAAATATATGTTTTTGTTTGACAAGCATGTTCAAACGAAACTCTACTTTGTTTTCCAAATCAAATGATGAGCATGATGACTTAGAGGTATACCTTTCAAATTGGGAGAAGTTGTCTCTTTGCTAGAATGAGTCCCTTTTTACTTTTTTTTTTGGGTAAGTCAGTAGGGGAGAAGACCCTTTACCCATTTTTCATTAATAAAAAAGCAGATAAAGCAATTAAGATACAACCCTACAGTAGGGAAATTGCTCCAGATCATGTAATAAAAAAGAGGAAAGAAAATCTGGTAGTCTATGGCCCCACACAATAGCACTGGGGCCAGTAGCGGACCTCTTAGCTAGGGCATCAACAACCATGTTAGCCTCACAAAAGACGTGTGATGGACCATCGATGAGAAGACAGTCTGGCGCAACAATTGTCAACAATCGTCTTCAGTCTCCATGATTGCAACGATTCTGAATGACATTTGCAAGCAAGGCTGAGTCACTTTCAATCTGGTTTGGAAAGCAATTACTTTGAATAACCATATGAACTCCTTCTTCAAAAGCCAAGAATTATGCATGGTTATCAGAAGCAAAACTAAAATGCTTTGCAAAAGCAGCAATAAAACCACCCGCACTGTTCCTGATAACTCTACCACCACCTGCTAAACGTGGATTTTTCAATCAATATTGCGATTGTAACTATGAGTCTCAGGAAAAGACCACGCTACCGAAGTAAAGGGCTCAGCCCTCTGCTGCTGCCAAGTTATCCGAATGTTAACAATGATGGCCTTTCTTAATAAATGAAAATACCATTGCTGAACTTCTGCTAGTGTCTGAACATGCAGGGTAATTCTTTTCAAAATAAGCTCTCTCCTGGTGGGTCTTGACTCAAAAACTCTTCCGTTGCGCTTTTCCCCTAAAAACCAAATAGAAGTAAAAAAGATGGAAGACCAAATATAATGAAGTCCATGTCATTTAAACCCGAAAAGCATCCACCACTTAAGTAACTCAGGGACAGAGGTACTAAGGACAAACCTTTTTCCACATATCCAAGCGAGTGATCTCCATACACCCTGTGCAAAGACACATTAGAATAATAGATGAAAAAGATTGTCATCATGGTTACTACAAAAGGGACATAAAGAGTCCAATTGCATGCCTCGCTACTGTAGTAAGAATGTAGTGGGTAATCGATTATGCAAGGCCAACCATGAAAACCATTTCGCCCTTGGGTGGCATTTGGAGGACCAAAGTTCACGTAAGATAGGTTGTGACGAACCTTGATGCCTAATAAAATCCCATGCCCTTTTAATAGAGAAAGATCCATCAACAGAATGAATCCAGACCAGTGAATCCTTTATGAGCTGTAGAGGAAGAGTATAATTTTCAACCTCTCTCCATATATTCCTCAAAGAATTAGATACGGGATGCGGTAGAACCCAAGCTTGAGGAACTCTTCTGATAAAGTCTGACACCCTCCTCCCTGTAGAAGCCCCCATATATTCCTGAATTATCATCGTGGAGGTCTGAA